AGTTATATATAATAATACGTAGTAATATGCGGTTATCTATAGTAATATATAGTAATATGCAGTAATATGTAGTAATATGCAGTTATATATAGTAATATGTAGTAATATGCAGTAATATGTAGTAATATGTAGTTATGTAGTAATATGCAGTAATATGTAGTAATATGCAGTAATGTAGTAATATGTAGTTATGTAGTAATATGCAGTAATATGTAATAATATGCAGTAATGTGCTTGACACCCAGTGGTGGCTTGGCTGCATGCAGCCACTCCACTGTCAGGAATCTGGGAGTTATTTTCGATAGTGCTTTTAAAATAGACAAATGGATAAATGCAGTTGAAAAATCCAATTTGTCAAAGACTCGTTGTCAACTAGGCCCGTCGAGATAAACTAATCAATTAATCGCATGATAAATTAAAATGATCCACCTCATTTTCCTTTATCGACTTTATCGTTTCTTCGTGTCTCTCTTTCTACTGAAGACGCTGGATGACGAAAGGCTCAACTCCGGTGTTCTTTACTGACCCCTCCCTTTCTCTTTTCTCTTTAAAATCCATTTTAATCGTCCAAAATCACATTTTTGGATCGTTAAAAGCAGCCAAGATGAGAAGCTAAGCTACGAGCTAAGCTAACAGGCTGACCTCGAGAAAAACCCTCCGTCTTGTCGAAGCTCCAAAATTCACGGTTGAAATTTGCGCCTTCGAGTAAAAAGTTGTTTTTCTCTGCAAAAAGAAGCTGAGAACTTGTTTACTGAATTTTTTTAAATTAAAAGCTTTGTGTGAACAATGTTATGCTAAAGAGCTCAAACCACACCGAGCATCCACCATTTTGAGAACCGAAGAGAGACAGCCCATGTCACGTCAAGAGGCCTCCCTCCCATTTTTCTTAGAGACACACTGCTCGCTCCCTCACTATCCATCCTTCAGTTCAGTCTTATACTGCCATCCGTTGGTCGACAAAAGGTACTACACTCAAAACAAATTAACCAACATTTCATCTTAAATTTGACAATAATTACTAATATTGTCAAATTTCAAACAATATTATCGTTTATCGCAATAATTTCTGAGACGATTAATCGCCCAGTAAAATTTGTTATCGTGACAGGCCTATTGTCAAGGTGAAGTCTTTCAGAGACCTTGAAAAGGTGATTTACGCTTTTATTACCTCTCGTTTGAACTCTGTATGTTGGTTTGGATAAATCATCTCTACTTCGTTTTGTCCAGAACGCAGCAGCTCGTCTTTTAACAGTGTAGTGAACCTGATCTGACCCTTATCTGACCTCAAATCTACCAGAT